ATCACATGAGCTTGCGTTTATCTGAAAGGAGCTGCATATTAACTTCCTTTACAACCTGTTTACTTCAGCTTCCGCTCTTAGAAAAGCCTAACCCAGTGGATCAGTGAGCAGCCTCCTTAAGGGTGACTTAAAGCCTATTTAAAGACTAACTTGGGTCAGTGTACCAGCAGTGTAAACATAAGGTAAGTGCTTAGGAGCCAGGCTCGAAAAACAAACCTTAAACCTTAATCATTTAACGCTGATCACATGAATCTCATACAGCACTAGAAGCCACGTTGGAACCGGAAGTCCTTTCAATTCCTGCATTTAGTGTGGGCTACTCTGTAACATCTTACACTATGACTTTTACGCCTGCTTCTTTTGCCCTTCATTTTCTCTCACCACCCCCCCCCCTTTTCCTTTTTCACGCATCCCCTTCTACTGTAGACCCTACATCAAAGGAAGAGGGCAGAGCATCTGTTTATTGTGAACTCGCCTCAAAGCTCCATGTTAAGTAATAACAATCTGTGACGTCAAAAGCTCTCTGTCTAAGCCGGGTGGTTAGGGGAGGGAGAAAGACATAGTGAGTCAGGAAAGGGGGGGTTGGGTGGAGGCAGCATCCATGGAGGTTGCATCGCATGTGTGTTTTCGTGTGGGTGTGTGGGGTTTTGCTTGTGTGTAACCATCATATTAAACGCCATCAGTAACCTGTCCAATCAGGGAAAAGCTCTCTGTGGTGGCTTTTCCTGGAAATTAGCTTGCCTTCTGCTGGCTGCAGTATGGCAGAAATATCACGGCCATTAGACACAGCTATGCATCAGCACTGTTTCCCTGAGCACCACAGAATGCAGCACTATACAGATGTACCCTTATAATAGTGATGGCTCTATCAGAAAGGTGAATGCGGGCAAAAGAGTGAAGAAAATGTTCTTGTTCTATTTGTTAGAACAGGGCTTACTAAAGAAAATATATAGTGGGTTTGTGTAGGACATACTAGAATATTCTTTGAACAAATTATATTTGCTACACATCCTCCTTCTATATATATATATATATATATATATACCACTAAGATAAGAGATAATTATATTATAGAAGAAACAGTGCGCTAGAACAAGACCTTGTGAACAAAGATGCTATAAAGGGTTTGTGCAGTACATGCTAGAATCTTTTTGCATTTCTTCATGCTTCTTTCTTCTTTCTCATTACAGTCTTTACATTATCACCTATACATTCTTTCCCTATATAGACATACCCTTACAATGCTGATGACGCTATGGCAAAGGTGAATATAGGCAAAAAAGAGAAGAAATTGCCCTTATTCTGTTTGCAAGAACAGTCTACTGAATACAAATGCTGTGGAAGGTTTGTGCAGGACATGCTAGAACTCCCATCTTTTGCTCAAGAAAAAAATGTATTATTCTCTCATACATTCTAACGCTACATAGATGTACCCATATAACTGTGATGGCTCTTTTAAAAAGGTGAATGCATGCAAAAATGTTCTTGCTCCATTTGCTAGTGGACACTAGAAGTGAAGTGGGTGGTATGGTGGGTTTGTGTGTCAAGCATTTTAAAGACATTCTCCTTCTATATAGATGTAATCTTGTCATAGTGATAACTATTGTAGAAGTGAATGCAGACAAAAAAGAGAAGAAAATGTCCTTGCCTTGTTTGATAGAACAAGGTCTTGTGAACAAAGACGCTATGAAGTGGTTGTGTAAGGCTAGACTGTACAACTATGCATTTCTGCAAGCCTGCAGTTGATCCTCTGCACATTTTCTCCCCATATATGTACCCTGTATCCTTATACTGCTGATGACTGATGGCAAAAAAGACAACAAATTGTCCTTTTTCTGTTTGAGAGAACAGTTTACTGAATATGCTATGCTATGGAAAGCTTGTGTAGGAGGTACTATATTCCACAGCATTGGATTTTTATGCTCATTTCTCAAGAAAATAAACATATTCTTCTTTATACATTCTGTTGAAATTCTGTTTTAATTCCTTTTAATGCTCGATGTTTGTGGACAAGCACATTGAATATGATATTATTTTGATCAGCGCCATTTTGTGCAAGATCAAAGCTTTCAGGCATATTCTGTTCAACAAGGACATAAACATAAGTGTGACAAGTCCCCTTCTAAAGTTAATACTAACAGTCAATAGTGATGACTTCAGCTTAAAAGTGAATATAGGCAAAAAAGGAAAGAACTTGCCCTTGTAATGTTTGCTAGAACAGGACTTACTGAGTTAAGACGCCATTTAAGGTTGTGGAGAGCGTTCTAGAATCTATGACATTGCATTTTCTCATGCTCCATTCTCAAGCCTGCAGTCATTCTGCTTATTCATATTCTACCCCTACATAGATATACCTTTATAATAGTCATGAAACTACTACAAAGCTGAACGCAGGCGAAAGAATTTGTCCTTACCTAAGGCCTAGTTATTAAAGACACTATAGAGGATTCCATATAGCATGCAAGTTTGCATTTCTTCATGTTTATTCCTCAGGCCTGCAGTCGTCTTCCTCCTATTATGATAGTGATGACTCTATTAGTAAGGTGAATGCAGGTTAAAAAAAAGAGAAGAAATTGGCCTAGTGAACAAAGACACTGTACAAGGTCGTGTAGGACATGGTGGATTCTACAACTTTGCATTTCTTCATGCTCTTTTCTCAAGCCTGCAGTCATTCTCTCCCTGGCAGAGCGCCGGATCCCTCTGGGAATTAATTGGAGATTACTGATCTTTAAAGCTCACATCCCTTGACAAGAACAAGTTACAGCAGAGACTGGAATGTGTGTTATTGGATTAACCATAAGACAATATACCTGTCTTAATGTGCTGTCTTGCAGTACTGCTGATCGTTGAATTGTTTCAGATCAGGATCACCTCAGTGCAACAAATAACATTGCACAACATCATTTCATCTTTAAAATCATTGCCTAATTGAAGTGGGAGTTTATGTGAGTTTCTATAGATTGCTCCATTCTAGAGAATTTCACAAGATATGTTTAGGTTCGCTTGTGGTTTTGGATAGTAAATAAAATGGCTATATTTGTGTGTCGTAGATATTGAGTTCCCTGGGTCCTACTCATACTATTTCATCTCCATTTTACATTAAAACACTCTGAATGACTTTGTTTAACGACTAAATTATGCAGATTTTTTGGGTGGAATTGCCCTTTAATTGAAGCCTAAGTGCACTACGTGCAGAAAAGTGTCATGCAACCTTCCGCTGACTCCAACTGAAAGAGATAGTGAGGGGGCCGAGTGGCACAAATAAAGCTGGAGAGCCTTCAGCACCACTGTCCTGTGGCCAGAAAGACACATGTCCAGATTTTTGTGGGCTGTTTGCAGTATAAATAACACGCAGTGGACTGACAAACCTGTGCCTGCTTGTGTCATGCCCTCAGCGCATGCATGCCCTATCATATCCCTGCCTCAAGAAGTACTACGCATTCAAGAACTAGCACCCACTGCATCACTGAAATATCATTTTACAGAAATATAGAAATATAGTGACTTTTTCTTGTATTTAACCATGGTGTCAAGCGTGTTTGTAAATTGATTACTACTTTCAGAGTATTAGCACTATCACAAGACTAAATACTGTGAGCTATCGCACGCACACTTTAGGAGAAGTAAGCATTGATTTGGATGTAAACTAAGGTGGGTTTTCCTGTACTTGCTAGGCAATGAAGTCAATATCCTGCTCTTAAGTGGAGTCAGAAGTCAGAGCGTTGATGAAAGTACATAAATAATATCAACGTCAATTCTTTATACTTTTTTTGATGAACTGATTACTCCATGATAAACTGACAGGTCTGACACTCAGTTTGAGGAACAATACACAGCATATATTTGCATTTAAATGTGAATTACCTCTTGAAAATTAAGTGTCCCTATTCAACTAAGGCAGCACATGACGTCAGCAACGAGCTGTCGGCGCGCCATTCACGAGAAGATCCGGCCCCGTTTTTCAGCCAATCGGTGTTCATAATTTTTTTTCTTCCTGCTGCCATCTACACTGAGCTCCACCCCTACTATCACCGTATCGCTCCGCACAGGCTCTCCCTCACGGCCAGCGTATGTGCTGACGGCTGAACTGCGATATGAAACGTTTGCAAATTTAACAAGGCCTGCTTAAAAACACAGGAACCAGTCTCTCCAACGCGACGGTAAGCAGGCAGTCGAACTTAACTCGTGACTATTGGATGAAGGTAAAATATCCCCCACTGAACTAGCTTTTAGTTTAGTTTGAATAGACTGACAGAGCGGCACTACCTTCGTGACTGAAAATACAGCTACCTTTTTTGGAAAGTGACTGAGAGACTTAAATTTAGTTTATTCACCGAATGTCTTGCTCCGAATATCTTAAGTTCCGTTTTCTTATTAAATACTGACTGGTACCTGCTTGAATGTGTCACTCATGCACACGGACAGACTGTTGAGATGTTAAACAGTGTCGTTTGTGAATCGGACAGACAGCAGGCTGTGATGTGGCTTGTTCAGCAGATCAACTTTGTGCTGGGAGTGCTGGAACTAGGTAACGCGTGACGTCCGTGTCCTTTTAATGGGCGAAACGCTGTAATGAAATCGGGCACCTTTTGATTGATTGTGAAAAGCACCAATGAGCCCAAGAGGCGTCACGCTAGGGGCGGGTTTATCCCTCGAGTCGGGCCAATCCCATGCTCGGATAGGACGTTCGTATTGTTTTGACCTTTGAAACCGCATCACCGCCCACCTCGTGTCCGTGGCGGAGGAAAACTATAAATACAGGAGGGTGACAGCAATCGGACGACGAAGTTGTAAAAACACCCAGGTAGTCGGGGTGGGAAGACGCTTTTAAGAAGGTTAAACGGAAGCAAAATTAACCTTTTCAGGCGCCTACAAACTGGAATACACTTTTTTATGTTAACTTACTTAATGTGAAGAAAGTATTTATATCTGCAGTTTTCTATTTGCACTAGTTAACGGTACTTCAACTACTGAGAATCTTTTTTAAGACGAAAGTAAGTAGCAACGTTCTTTTCACGCTACTCTTAGAGCTCCTTCGTTGTATTTAACTGACTGTTTGACAGTGTTGTGCAGTTAACTGGTCGTCGTGCAAAATGTAGACTAACATTGTAATTTTGATCACGGAGAGAACTTAAATATCGAGCCAACTTACTGCGTCAGGGCTAGGAAAGAGGCTTCAGTATCTGGGAGGGGTTGCTAACTAGTAAAACTCCGTACAGCAGCCTTTTGCTCTTACGTTTTTTCGGTTAAGTTAAATTTCTTTATTCCTTGCTTATATTAGGCAATGCAGCTGTCGGGAGGAGGTAGGTTACTGATCTGTATGTCGACAGTTTGGAGTTATTCGTCATTCGGCATGAAACCTCTTGCTTCCTTTCTGTGTAGGATTAGCTTGTTTAAGGGGAAGCGTTGTAACGTTATTTGTATGGAGGCTAAATGTATTAAGAGCACGTTTTCTGTTCTGCAAGTGGTTGATTTACTTTGTATGCCTGTGGTTATCCTTGCTGGTACAGGCGAAAAGGGTGATATGTATTCGCAGTTGTAGAGAATGAAATGTCAGTAGTCGTAGTCATTTCCCAAAAGACGTGAGGAGCAGTTTTGCATATAGGTTAAAATGAAACGAGCTCTGCTGGAATGTGCGACTCACGAAATGTGTGTTTTTTAACCGTTTCGCCGCGGTCGTTAATGGTGAGCCATGTTCCTCCAACCTACTGAAACGTTCTCGGCTTTAACACCGTAACGTTAACCTCTTTACCAACTTTACCAATGTAGTTCTTTAGGTTTCTAATCGCTGCAACACGTTATTTCTAAAAATAGATTGAACTAGATCTAGTTCGACGTTGCCGACTCTGCTAGTCTCACTTGTATGGGGTCTAGTGTAAGCTAGTTATTATGTAACGCGATCAGATCCGTGAGCCCCACAGCTGCCTGCCTCTGACGACAAACTGCATATAGCACGCAGGCTTACGTCGATAGGGCTTGCCTTCTGTTTTTTCCTCTCTTCATCGCAAACTGTTGCCATCGATTAAGCGCAGGTTCTTCTCTGGTTTTACACCGTGCCAGATGTCGAATATTCACCAGTCCACCCGGTGCTTATTTTACATCTTCATTTTTTGTTGGTGCGTATGCACTGAATTTTACCTAGACCTTCACACACCCAGACCTCTTGAAATTAATGCTTGACGCATGAAGGAGTTTTCAGGGTTGGTTTCCTGCTAAGTCTGCCGCAGCTGAAAGATTTTTGGATTATAATTTCACGTTTTACTAATGGTTGAATGACGTTTTTGTGTTTTCTGAGATTAGACTGACCAAACTGTTGCTAGCCATTTCATGAAGTGCTCGTTTTAACCTACAAACAGGTCTTTTGGAAATGTCATGGCTATTTGTTGACAATCATGATTGTAGTCTATGTGGCTGTTTTTTTTTTAACATGGCTTTTTTTTTTGCTTTTCTCAAGGAACTGGATCTCTCATCTGTGGAAGGAGACATTTCCTCTGCAACCAGCACTTTGTTCCTTTGCCTGGCTCCAGCTGAACCTCGTCCTGCGGGAAGCTTGATACCGCACAACGTTTTGACCCGTCGACGGAAATACTAATATTTTGCACCTGGGCAGTTCAGCAGCTATGCAGCTTGAAATCCAAGTAGCACTCAACTTTATAATTTCTTACTTGTACAATAAGCTGCCGCGGCGACGCGTCAACATTTTCGGTGAGGAGTTGGAGCGGCAGCTGAAACAGAAATATGAGGGACACTGGTACCCAGACAAGCCATACAAAGGATCTGGGTTTCGCTGCATACATGTCGGAGAGAAAGTGGACCCAGTCGTAGAGCAAGCAGCCAAAGAGAGCGGGTTGGACATTGAAGACGTCCGCAACAACCTGCCTCAGGACCTTAGCGTCTGGATCGATCCTTTCGAGGTGTCTTATCAGATCGGGGAAAAGGGACCTGTCAAGGTGCTGTATGTGGACGATAGCAACGAGAACGGGCTAGAGTTGGACAAGGAGATCAAGAACAGCTTTAACCCTGAGGCCCAAGTCTTCATGCCAATCACCGAGCCTATGGGACCCTCGCCCACGTCCAGCTCCCCGTCCCCTCCGTTCGGCCAGTCGGCCGCCGTCAGCCCCACCTTTATGCCCCGCTCCACCCAGCCTTTAACCTTCACCACTGCCACCTTTGCCGCCACCAAGTTCGGCTCCACCAAGATGAAGAGCAGTGGGCGGAACAACAACAAAGTGGCGCGGAGCTCTCCCACCAATCTGGGCCTGAATGTGAACAACCTTTTGAAGCAGAAAGCCATCTCCACGTCGATGCATTCTCTCTATGGCCTCGGCTTGGGTGGGCAGCAGCAGAAGACCTCGGCCCTGTCACCCAATGCCAAGGAGTTTGTGTTCCCCAGCCTGCAAGGCCAGGGCAGCCCAAGTGCAATGTTCCCTGGGGATAGTTCCCTCAGCCTCAGCTCTCTCCAGTACAATAATGCCTTTGACGTGTTCGCCGCCTATGGGGGCCTGAACGAGAAGTCCCTGATGGACGGCCTGAATTTCAGCTTGAGCAACATGCAGTATTCTAACCAGCAATTCCAGCCAGTAATGGCCAACTAGGAAACAAAGATGTGACTAAAATGACCAGAGATATGTGACAGGGGTGGGGGGGTTGCTTATTTTCAAAAATTCTGAAAAAGAGGAAAAAAATAGAAAAGAGAAAAATGGAAAAGCTTACACGTCAACTGTACAGTCCCAGTGTACAAGTCAAAGAGCATGAGCCCGAGGGTGAACTACTTTGCCCCCTTGAGTTTTTTTTTCTTTCTTTCTTTCTTTTTTTTCTTTTATTATTATTTTTTTATATAATGAAGCTTGTAGTACTACATGTCCAAGCTTGGTTACCTAAACTCAACATTATATTGCTTTTCTTTTGCCAACCAAGCACAAAATTATTTTTATTGACTGTTTTAAGATATCTCTATGAGGAATTAAAACACAAGTCATGGCCTCTTACAGTATTTAAGATATAGCTGGACAGCCAATTTTCAAAGAATTGGCAAAAATACTAAGTGGGATTTCCTGGTCTTTTTTCTAATTGTATAATTTAATTTAGTACAGAGTTTGTAAAATATCAGAGTATATATTGTTTCTACGACATGGTATTGCATTTATATCTTTTTACTACTCCAGTGATCCGTGATGGCTGCAGCAGCTTTTGTGTTATTTCTTTTTTTATTGAAATTGTAAAATGAATCCATCTTTAAAAACATCAACTATTCTAAAGATTGTGTACAGAATATTCCGTAGTGGTGGGATTTAAGGATATTTGCTTTTTTGAAAAAACATAAGAGTTGTATTTTCTGTTAAGAGTTAAAAGATTTTTGCTATATTATGGACAAAATGTAATCGTATATTAATTTTGTACCTACATTGTGCAATACTTGATAAAAACAAACGGTATAACAAAGTATTTGGAGTCAGTGTCTTACATGTTAAGAGGGACTGATAGTTTATTAAGTTTGTATTAAAATGCTTGAAAATATACTCTTGTCTAATGTTTCCATTAATGTTAGGGCTGAATGTATTGAACACACTATCATACCATCAAAGACCATGCATACTACACAAGTATCTTTCACAATTAGTGTTGTGAAGATAGCTTTAGTGGTATGGGTGCTTTAGAGCACTTGAGTGAATTCATTTGATTCTACATAGTAACTCGAGCATATAATATGAGCCCTAAATCAGCACAGCCTATATTCATTTGAACAGACCAGATAAAATTTGTCATTGTGAGGTGGATTTTTGTTCATATTGCAGTGCTTGCTGCTTTCTTTCTGAACAACTTGGTTTAAAACCAGTTGCTTTCAGAGTCTAATCCACTGAAATAAGTGCTCTACATAAGACATCCTGTTTACTGTGTGTGAGAGAACCTGTTGTTTTAAGGTGGATCAGAAGATTAGCACACAACACTTGAGCAAAGCCTTCTGTGCTTTATCTATGTAGCTGCTGTCACTGGGCTTTTTACAGCCTGTTTTTGCCACAGATCATGCTGTCACCCAAACACCACACAAATAAACAGCAGCCCTGCCTCTCAGGCTCACTGGTGCTTTACTAATAGTGGTAATGTCCTTGTGGCAATGGCAGGACTGGGCTGTTGGAACAAGCTTTTGTGGTGATTGTGGTTCATCAATGTCTTTCTTGGTATGAAGAGCAGGTTTTCTAAAATAACGATTTGACGGTTTTCTTTCCAAACTATTGTTAAAAACGCAATGAAAATCTTTCACCCCAAAGGTAGTTTAAAGACCTGAAAGCTTTGAGGGCCGAAATCCGACGAAGGGGATAAAATGTGGCAGTATTTCAAAGCTAGTGCTTTCACAAATATTGTCACAGGTGTTTTACGCGTGGTTCCTCAAAATAGACCTGGTTAGTCTTTAAAATGCTAAGTTGTGGGGGTGGTGGGGGTTCCTTTAGTGATGTTCTCTCAGAGCAAATCTGTTTTTGTCTCCGTCCGTGTGTCTCTGCTCTTGCTGTGGTTATCATGGCTAGCCCTTGGGGGATTTAACAGATGTCATGAAGCTTAACGAGGGCTGCTGTGGCATCCCTGAGGTTGCTGGGGACTTCAAGCTTTTCACACTTACAGACTTAGGTGCAGGGGTGTTGCAGTCATCTAGTGTCGCAGACCCCATAGTTCTAAAAATGGAAGCTTGCTTGGCTAAGCGTTTAATGGCTGCAAGAACAGCAAGAAGTGACTCCAGCCTATATTTAGCTCTCTGATTAAGTGAGTTGATTGAGAAATGACAGCTTGAGTGGGAAGTTTCCAGATGAGCTAACCCACTACCTCAGTCAGCGTGCTCTGTTTCCTGTAATGTGTCTGGATCCAACCGAGCAGGCTTCCTTTTTCTTGTAGCTAAACAGTGTGACAACCACAGGGGTTAGCCAGAGTGAAACCGCAATCAGGACAACACGGTTTTCTGGTAGGATTTTATTTTTGTGCTGAAAGTAAATGAGCTCTTTCTGCACAGTACTGGAGGGTAATTTGTCACCATTGATGTTTAGTACATTAATCTTCATTAATAATCAGGTCTCAGCATGTGCAAGTGGGGGAAGATGTAATAAATGTTGCAGTTATAAAATGAGTGTGGTTCAGCTGTTTTACACATAGTACTGCTTTATTGCATTCTTTTATATGAAAAGTGATTATCATTGCTCTGTTAGAGATGCATGAGTAATGCAAGTAAAAAATGCTCACATTTGTAACGGTAACGTGATTACCAGAATTCACACTGTAATGCAATACACTGCTTAATTACAGAGAAATGTAATCACATTACTGTAATGTACTATTTGTTCAGCATTATGCAGTGATCTATGCTTCATTTTTTATCATGCAGCTATTTACAGTACACTATATCTAGTTTTTAAGTGTGAACACTATTTGTGTGGCTAGTACAAAAGTGGCTAGTACACTGTGGTCCTGTTTCCTTCTTTTTCATGCCCTCACCCACTTCAAGTCAACAGTCAGATGTCTGTCACACCCATGTTACACAAGTGGACAATCGTGGCAGAAAGATTGGCGGGGATAGTGATGAGCAGAATATTAAAACCGAATGCACTCACCCGCAGCAGTTTAGCCTCATCGGCTAGCCATGCAAAGTTTGCAATGCAAAGCGTGTTTTTTTTGTTTTTTGTTTTTTTTGGGGGGGAGAAGTTTTAACATAATGTACATAAAATTTGAGAATAATTACATTGTCTGTAAACTAGGTGTGGAGCTGTGATGTAGTGCTTTTTATGTTACCCCATAGCCTTTAGAATGCTAACTAGCCAGCCAGCAGAGGATAGTGATGAAGTTGTATCAGCAGTCATGTATTAGAGATAAAGTAGTTTGCAACATAAAGCCCAGCAAAGCAAAATGTATGGTCTTAAATGATAAGCATTGTAAAGTATCGTACTGCTATGGCTTATAAACAGCTTTGTCTGCCATTATTTTTAAGTTTGAAAAAATGGAAATGCGTCAAGTCTCAGTGATTTCTGGGAAGTCGACACGTGTTGACTTAAACCCTCGCCCCTCCTCATATAACACTCTTTACTTGAGCTTATAACGTAATGGCACAGCCCTTTAAATGACGCTAGTGATTCCTCTGAGAGTATTGAAATGAAACCAGTATAAATTGGTATTGAAATGAGTGATATGGAAGTACTTGATTTAAGACACAAGGGCTAAAATGAGTAGGGCAGTGGTACTCCAGAACTAGAACTGGGTAACACTGACCCAGTTATTAATGTTTTGCTGTCGTTATCTTCCTTAACAGTGACACACACACACCCAACCTTGCATTGGTGCATGATGTCTGTCTAGCCCAGGCCTTCTCAGTATTCTTATCTCCAGACTGTTTGAGGCTTCACCCAGTCCCTTCCCCCCTGCAGGAGATACTGCTTTCCAGTACACCATATCACCCTGTTCTAAGTCACGTCAGATGACACCACTCCCCCACTTTGCAGCATCCTGATACAGAGGAGAGGAGACCCCTTTCCCTCCCTCTTTACCTCCACCCCGTGCAGAGGAGGTAGGCCTAGCCTGGCAGCAGCTCTTGGCTGTGCCCAGTGGGTGAGTAAGAGGATGAGCCGTCTCAGAAGCCACACTGGCTGTGTAGTGTTGTGGCAGGAGATGGAGCACCATTTGCTAGTTCTTCTTCAGAACTACCACAGCCACAGCTCTGGAGTAGCTGGAGGATGTCCTTTTGGGGTGTGGGTGGTATGTGGCTGGACGAGGTACATGTTTAGCAGTATGACATGCCAAAGGTGCCATGGACCAAAGATGGTTTTCTCAGGTTCTCCAGTTCATGTACAAGTTTAGGGACACCTTGCCTCCTTTTGAAACTAAAATTTCCTCACTTGTACTTTTTTTTTTTAAAAGGAAAAAATACCTGCAGAATTCTGTTAGTATAAAGCTTGTATTAATACATTTGATAGATAGATAGATATATTATAGCCAGTAGCAGTTACACAACAGGGGAGTTATAATAATAAGGGTGATACAATATAAGGAGAAGAATATATACAGAGAAGAATATATACAAAAAAAACTATCTACAGGCATATATAGAACTACAAATATACAAAAAATATGCATTAGATCTATCTTGAGATAAAAAGGCAGTGTAGTAATGAATGTACAAGGAGGTGCAGGTAACAGCATATAATGACAATACTGAATAAATATGTGCATCTATTGGTACTGAAATAAAGTGACTAGGTGTGGAGTAGTGTCCAGATGTGCAAAATGTGCGATTTAGATATATTTTGCAACACTCAGCTTCATATTCAAACAAAAGACTTCCTTAGAATGAAGGACAGGTTTTCCCTGAAAAATGATTTGACAGTTTTCTTTACCAAACTATTGTTGAAAGCACATACTGAAAATCTTCTGGCTCAAATGTGGTTTAAACAGCTGGCAGCTGAATGCTGGCATCACAGCAAAGGGATAAAATTCATGGGGTTTGGCATTATTCCTAATGTGGAACTGTTATAAATATTGACAAAGATATGATGTTTTCCTCAAAATAAACCTGGCTAGCCATCAGTACAGGGCAACCCAAAGCGTAGTCTCTATGAGAATGTTTGATTTGGCCCACCAGGAGGTTACCCTAACCCCTCCCCTTTGCCCAATGAGAGAACATATTTTTCTATAACTGTATACTGTACTGTGGAAAATTCTTAGGCACTTAGGCACATTGTTTAAAATCATTTATCACAACAGTAAGTGTTTTTACCTGTGAAAACACCATACATCATTAGAATAAACAGACATAAACACTGAAAAAATAAGAATCTTGTGAGCCAGCTTAAAAAACAAAGTCTAGTTCCAGGTTTCTCATGAACACCCCCAGTCATCACACAGATTTGTCAAATTCCATCACCAACACACTAGATTTAACATAATAAAACAGTGATTAGCCAAACCAGGTGTTAGATGATAACTACAAATAATACTGGGCTTCCTTAAGGAGAGGTTTGGAAATGGTTAAATGAAAAACATTGACATATGTAAAATTGCTTATTGTACTAATATTATTGTACATTTACATTACTGTATATATGACCTTTTCAATTATTCATTTCTTTTAAAATGTATTTTTAAGTGTTTTAGTTACAAAACAGTTGTATCAAAATGTCTGGCATAGCAGATGAGGAGATGGGGTACAAGTGTGAGTATCTTTTATTGCAGTAGATACAAGGAATATCGCTAAAACATGTTGGCAGGGAATGGGTACAGGGATCCATGATAAACACAAAGAACATGATAACTAAAATAACACGGAGAACTAAGATAACCACAGAAAGAAAACACAAACACTAGACAAATATAAAGAGAACACAGGCATAGAAACAGGACATCGGACAATGGAAACCAAGGGGTGTATATACCAACACAGAAGACAAGGAACATCTGAGGACACTCAATGAGGGCGGGGCTAGAAACGAGGAACAGGTGAGGGCTGAAACCAGGGCAGGACAGGAGATGAGCTAACACCAAAACAAGA